CATTACAAGTCACGACGACACAGGGTGCCACTTGTTGTACCCTGGTATCTGTGTGACATGAACAAGGCCACAAAGCCATTGAGGCAAGTTGATAGTGGCAAGTTCAGGGCAGAGCTGTGCCAGCAATTCATCCCTGTCCCCTCAGATGTGGAGGAGCAAGAGCAAGCTCTGGCAAGCTGGGCAGTGAGCAGGGAGTCCCCACAGAGCTGCTGTGTGGGCACTGGCACTGGGATACGCTGCTCTTGGTAGCCAGCAAGCACAGAGAACTGCAAGTCAGACAAGGACCCTGCAGGCAGAGTGGGCTTTCCTCTGCACTTTTGTTGGGGCCTAGGATTAAAATATCTGGAGGGAGGATAGGGCAGGAATCTGCAAGGTGGGACTACCACCAATGCCTGTCTTGAGGGCCAGCTGAGACAGCCCCAGTGACAGTTGTGATGGGATATGGGCAGGACACAGATAGCAATCCTTGGGAATCCCACTCTGATTCCCCCAGCCATACCCCTCCTTACCCAGTACCCCGGTGTTAAAATGCTGGATGGACAGTCACCAGTGGAGGAAGGCTCAGGCTCAACTGGGACCAGGCAGCTCAAAGCAGCCCCCCACCCCCTTGCCAGCCCCCCCCCGCTGCTGTGCACCCACCTATGGGCAGAGGATTGGGCTGCACCAGCCTCAGGAAGCCGTGTGCCATTGCCACCAGCCCTGGTGGGTTGCTCCCTGGCTCCTCAAGGCCAGGGCCGTAAGTAGGCTGTGGGATGTTCCCCAGCTCCATCGCAGCAGCTCCAGTGGACACCTGGGCACAGAAAGAAGCTGTCGGTGTCGTTGGTCACAGGACCACCCAGCCTGCCCTGCCTCCAACCAGGAAATACAGAGAGAAAAATCAGGCACTTGCCAGCTCCTGCCCGGAAGGAACAAGCTGTGGGAGAGCACCAAGAAGGGATGGGGAGTCCTGGCAACAGGGGGGTGGGAAGCCAGGCAGGAGGTGCCCGTAAGGGACCAGAGGGGCTGTGGGGGATGAAGAGGAGCACTCACCCTGTCCTCTGGCACCACTGTGCGTCCACAGCTGCTGCAGGGCCCAGCCACACAGTGCCAGCGCCCAGGTTTGTGGTTTGTTTAAGTTCAGCGGTGATTGCTGACAAGGTGTTTGCCGGGAAAGGCGGCGATACCGGGATCGCCCCACCCTGCCCACTATACCTTTTGGCACCCGGCCACCTCGGGCGCCTCTCCGTAGCGGGTCACCACCGACGCGTCCCGACCAAGGCACCGGAGAGAGCCCGTCCCCTCACCCTGCGCAGAGCTCCCGTGCCCTTGCTGGTTTCCTCCTGCCCCGACCCATGAGCTAGGTGGCCCGGGGTGATCCATCCCATACCATGGCCACACCACCTGCATCCCTTCTGGATGGGGTGCATTGAGCCGGCCGCAGTTTCGGCACAAACCAGCTCTAGCCACAGAACCAGGTTTTGCATCGAAAAACCTTCCGAAGCGGAGCACTGCGGCAAAACTGGAGTTTTCCAAACGCGCCCCGGTCCCCCTAAGCGGGGGACAAGTCTCAGAGGCCCCCTGAGGGGGTTCTTCCTCCAAGGCTGGGAGCCTGCCTGGCTTCATCCACGCTCCCCGCAGAGCTTTCCCACGCTGCGGGGGCCACGAGTGACTCTACCCCTGCCCCCGCCCCGTGGTTCTCAACCCCCGCTCCGCCGCCGGGACTCCGGGAGCCGCAAATGGGGTCAGGAGCGAGGAGGGGCCGGGGGTCGCTCCCGGTTGTGCCGCGGACGCACCAGGCGGGCGCGGGGCACGTGCCCCGGAGGTCGCGTCCCGGCGGGGGGCGGCGGCGGGCGGGGGTCCCCGGCTCGGTACAGCTCGGCACAGTTCCGCACCGAGCCCGCAGCGCGGACGGCCCCAGCAGGGGCGAGCAGGGCTGGACAGAGCCGCCCCTTCCGCCCCGGCCCCCGGGGTCTGTCCGGGGCGGGCGGCCGCCTGGGCCCCCACCTCTGCCGGGGAGGGGCTCCCCGCCGAGGCGCCCCCCGCCCCGCCTCGCCCCGCCCCGTCGCGCCGCACCTTGGCACCCCTCCTGCACCCTGCTCCTGGCCCCATTCCACCCTGACATCCTGCATCTGCCCTGGAGACCCCCGTCCCTGTCCTGTCCCACCTGGGAGAGCCCGCCGCCCCCAGGCCCTATGCCCGTGCCCAGGTGATGCTCCCTCCTTGCCAAGAGACCTAGCTCTCACCCCACACTGTCAGACCCAGTGCTGGCCCCTCCGGCAGCCCACCCTGCCACAGCCCCCTTGACCAGAGCTGCTCCTCCTGCTGCCCAGCTTTTCCCTATGCCAGCCCTTGGCTGTGCCTGTACCCCTCACCTCCCGCCCCCGGGCAGCTGGAGCCCCCAGCATGGTCTTTGGCTCTTGCTCCGTGTCCCTGCATGGGGCACCATGAGCTTTTGGACGGGCACCAGCGGGGAGTCAGGGTGAACTGTGCCCGAATGTCCTTTGCATAGCAGGCTTCCCGACCCCTCCAGCGCCCATGGCTTGCTCGCTGTCATCTCCTAGTTATTGCTTAACTTTCCTTGGCACGAGCAGGCACCACTGCACTCTGCAACCTGGGGCAAAAGTGTCATGGGGAAGAGGGCAGCCTTGCTTCAGGGTTTCTTCCTGGTCTGGCCCATACCGGTGCTGGGGTGCCATTTGGAACCCTCTGGCTCAGTACTGGCACAGGGGCAGGGCAGCAGAGGACACAGATGCATCCTGCCAAAGAAGATAAAAAGCAGGAGCTAGCAAGTTTCTCACAGGGGCTGATGTGGGGAGGGAGGTTTGAGGGCTTCATAAGTAGACTTGGGCTTTCCAGCTCAGACTTCAACCCTGAAGTGTTGCCTTGGGGCCCTCCACCAGTTCCCAGGTGCACATGCAGGATCCAACCAGGTTAGATCTGCAGGATCCTTCACAGATGGCAGGATCTGCTTCTGCAGAGCATTGCTCCCTTCCAGCCCAGGGCATCCCACTGAGGCTGCCAGAGCTCAATGCACATCAGGAGCAAAGGTGTTGACATCTCAGCTCTGGGTGCCACCGCACCATGGGCTCATTGGGGCCACCCTGCACACACATGCCTGGCCACAAGCTCCCACCACAGCACCTCTATCCTGCAGCCCCGCTGACCTCAGTCCCTCAGGGGTAAGGATGGCAAGGTAGTATCCCTCACTGCAGATGTAAATCCAAGCCCTGCCCCTGCTCTGAAGACACGGGCCCATCCTGCCCTCACCCTCCACTGCATCAGCCCTGTTTTAAGAGACTGTTTTCCCCCACATCCCTTTTTCCTCCCACATCCCTTTTTCCCCTCCCCATTACTGCCAGATCTGCGCTCATCCCACACTAATCACAGCCACAGGTTCCTTGCCCTACACTTTTGGCCACAGTGGGGTGCGTGCATTGGACAAGGCACCCACAGTTTAAGCCTACAGTGTCCACATGGCTGGGGGCTGGCTGGCACTCTGGGGGTCCCTTGTCCCTCCTTTGTCCCCCTTTTGTCCCCCCAGGACACCTCCATGCTGCTCAGCTGCTGCTGCCCCGTTCCCACAGCAGGACTGCACTGCTCCCATTGCTCCCCAGGGAATATGCCCATCACCTTGGTATCAAGACAAGCCCTGAGCTGCCTGTTTGCTCTGGCTTCGGGACAGGGCCATTTCCCAGTTGCCCTGTACCTTGTGCTTGCTGAGATTTCTACTTTCCATGGTGTGGCAGGGAGCTGGCCATGGTCTGGCTAGGAACCAGCAGCCTGAGGCGAGCCAGCATCATCCTGGGAGCACAGCAAGCCCTGTGCACGCACCCCCTGCCAGGGCACCAGGGACATGAGGAGACCCCTCTCTGTCTTGCCCACATCAGCCTGGTCCCATGCTCAGAAGTAAGTGCTCAGGACAGCCTCAAACCGAAAAGTCATTTTATTGGTACCATACATGACTCATAAATGGCACAAACTATGGAGGGGAGGAAGAAAAAAAAAACAAAAAAAACCAAAGCAAAAAAAAAAAAACCCAATAACCAACCAACCAACCAACCAAAAAAACAAACAAAACAAACAAACAAACAAAAAGAAACAAAAAGGCATTACAGTGTGCCTGGGGCAGTGAGGGCTCCACACCCTCCACGGCAGCCCTGTGGCATGGCGCGGAGAATCGTACCTTAATTGCAACTCAGTCAGAGCTCCGCTCCCTTCCCGCCACACCAGGCTCCCACCCTGGGATCCTACCCCCACCTGCAAAGGGGCTGTGGGGACCCCTGTGCCTGCAGCTGTGGGTATGACCGGCCAAGCCCTCTGCCTCTGGCCTGCCTATGGAAGGGCCCAGGAGCCAACACAGGCATCTCTCCAGATATTTTCAGCTTGACTAGGGTTGACTCAAAAGACTCCCATCTCCCTGCCCAGCCCCAGGGACAGCAGGAGGGGGACACACAGGTTGGCCCCCATCCTGTCTCAGCGACCCCCTGCACTCTCAGCTGTGAGCGGGCAAGGTGCGGGGTCCCGCAGCACCCCTGCTGCAGCCAGAGCCCCCGGGCAGGGACAGCCCCTCAGCGACGCCTGCCAGCCCCCCGTCCCACAGGGCAGTGGGACATGGACTGTGGGATCCCCGGCAGGGAGCTGGGGGGGGACGGTGGAGACAATGGGGTGCACCACCCTATCCCCCAAACTTCAGGGCTGCTCTGCCTGCCCTGGGCTTCCTTACACATGCAGACAGACACACAAACCTCTCGCACACACACTCTTACACACACATACCCCCCCCCCCCCCCCGCGCAGCCCCCCCCCCAGGGCAGCCCCCCCCCCCGGCCACCCCCATGGCAGCACTTGCTGCAACCCCACCTTGGGACATGCCAGGGGGCCCCCATGGGCAGCCCAGACTCCCATCTCACCCCAAAACCTCCCTCCAAGGCTGCTGGGGTGAACTGGTTAGCACAAACACCCTCCTCCGGCACCTCCCATCTTCTCCTTGGAAGAAGCCTTGGAAGGGTTTATTTTTTTTCTTTTTTTTTTTTAAACCAAAAAAACCCCCCAAAAGTATTATTTTTCTCATCGTTTCCCCTAACATCAATGGAGGCACCTGCTCTAGTGATAACACATTGAAAGAACAGTATCGTACACACTGTCTACAGCGCGGAAATGTACAAGCACGAGGTACACGAACCCGAGGGGGGGAGTGGGGACAACAGCACACAAGATTTACATTGAGGAGGGAGGCGGGGGGCTGATCCCCCCGACCCCTGGAGGGATTAGAAAGGAAGTCTGCAAAGTCTCTCCTTGGTTTGAAGCTCTCCGAACTGGATATAAAATGAGACTTCCAAGAGAAGAAGCCTGTACAAAAGTCAGGACAGGGTGAGAGGGCTCAGGACAGGGAGGGGGAACCGGCAAGGGGGCTGAGGGGGGCTTTTCCCATTTTTTTTCTTTTTTTTAAACTTACAATTTTAATAATATTATTTTTTCTTAAAAAAAGACAAAAGTAGGAGGTACCAGGAGCCAGGGTTTGCAAAGGGGCCCCAGGCGGACTCACGCAGGGTGGAGGGAAACACAGGGGCTGCAGGCAGGGAGCAAGGGCACTGGCTGCTCCAGCAGAGCTGCGGGTCCTCTGTGTCCCCCTAGGCCCCCCACCACACATTTCCTATATACAGAGTCCCCCCCATGGCCACACTGCGCTTTCGCTCCGGGGAGCGAGGGGAAGGGGAGGGTGCAGGAGAGCGGGGAAATATGATGGGGCCCTATCCTCAACACCACTCCAGTGCTGCAGGATCTGACCCCAGCCGGAGGAGGCTCTGTGGCAGAACCCGAGGCATGAGGACAGCTTTCCATCGCTGCCTCCCCCACCCAGCCCCAGTTTGGACTGGGGATATGCAACCCTGCTGCAGGTGGCTGCTCAGGAAACACCAGCCATAGGACCCAGGGAGGAGGAGGGTCTCGGGGCTGTGCCAAACCCCAACATGTGGCATCTGGTAATGCCAGCTGCTGCCAACACCTCCCTCCTAATTCCCCCCACTCAGCAGGGAGGGGTTGGGCACATCGGGGCGGGGATGAGAAACTCTCTGGGCAAGAAGCAGGGAGGAAGAGAGAAGGGGGAATAACGAAGCTATGGCCCCGGAATCCCACCCCTGCCCTGGGGTCCATTGCAGAGGCAGGCATGGGGGTGTGGGGAGGCGGCGGGGGGAGAGGGCTAGGGGCTGCCTGCCCGGCATGCATCCCAGGCCGTGCACCCCATCATCCGCGCGGTGCCGGTGTGCCCCCGGGACCTCGCCGCTTCCCAGTCACTCTCTGTTGCAAATGTACAGGTAGATTGGTTGGGACTGAGTCCACGGGGCGGCGGGGGGGCCGTTACTGCGACGCCTGTGACGTGGGGTTCTCTGACTTGCTCTCCTGGCTGGAGGGCGGTTTGCTGTTCCAGGGGCTGTTGGCCCCCAGCGCCGGTGAGTTGTTGAAGCTGTCCTCGTCGTCGATGCCGTTGGCGGCGTCAAACTGTGTGTTCTCCAGCCGGGTGATGAGCCGCTCGTCCTCGTCCCCAAACTCCCCCCCCATCAGCGTGGGCTCGCCTACCACCATCACATCCTGAAAGGGGAGACGGTCCCGAAACATAATCGAGGTGGGGGGAGCCTGGGCCGCCAATCTCACCCTCAACACTGCAGCCCCTTTCCCCAGCTGCAGGGCCACTTCCTTGTCTCCATCACAGGTCCCAAGCTTGGGCACTGTGTGGAACAACACATCCTCACTCCCTTGCAGGAGCACAAAGGAGCTAAGGAAGGCTGCTGGGACACCCATTGCTTCTTCTTCCCATCACATGGAAAGAGCCGAGGGTGCTTGGACAGGCAGTCCCTGAGGGTCTCCCTCTAGCAACTCCCAGGGGCTGGGGCAGAGAACCCTCCCCTCCATCCCCGAGGGGGAAGAGAAAATGGAAACGGGATGCTTACAGGTACCTGACTGGACAGGGCAAAGGTGCTGGCTGGGCTCTTCTTTTTGCTGTTGCTGTTGTTGGTGTTTCCCCCGCCGGAGCTCATGGTGCTGCCCCCCGACATCTTCCTTTTCCGGCGCTTGCTGGGCTGCTGCCGTGCTGGCTCCGCTGGTGGAGGATGGAGACATATATGGTCAGTACCAAACCCTTTTCTGCAAACCCCACCTCTGCAAGGACCACATTGCCCCTCCAGGCAGCATCACCACCCTACTCGCCTCCACAGCTCTGCTGTCCCCCTGGTGCAGGGGACAGGAGAGGCAGCAGGAAAATTTCCATCCCTGCTTTGCTTTCCACAAACAGCTGGCAGCCCCCAGGCAGGAAGCACTGGCTGCCTGCAGCCCTGCTCTGCCCCAGTGGGAAGGCAGGCCAACTAAGAAGGAAGCCAGCTGCCTGGCTTACCACCCCCAGCCTCACAAAACGAGGCCAAGAACAGCTCTGGGGCTGGGAGAACTGTGTGCCGAGGGCAGGGCCTGAGCAGGAAGCCGCAGAGACCCAAAGGCAGCACAGCAGGCAGTGTGAGACTCACCAGGTGGAGCAACCATCCGCTGCCACTTCTGGAAGAGGCAAGTCTTGAGGCAGTCCCGGGGACTGAGGCTGTAGGTCTTGTGCCGTGACATGAGCTCCTGCATTGGTTCTAGGATTACACAGAGCTGCAGGGAGCAGACAGACATGGGGTTAGATCGCAATGCTCTGAGCCCCAGCAAAAACCCCTCTGTTAGGCAGCCATCTGCACTGCACTAACCCAAGCCACGCTGGGAACTTGTGGGATCCGGCAGACCCACTGCCCCACGGTTCTCTGCAGCCCCCCTGCAAGACCCCTTTTTCAAAGTCTGCCTCGCTGTCTCCCCATACCCCAGGGCAGCCAAGAGCTGCATCCCCTCCTCTTCTGGCATGCTTACTCGGAGGTAGTTGAGTGTGGAGTTTGAGAGTCCACAGCGTGTGATGTTCTTGGATAACTGGTCCAGCATCTGGGGATCCTGTGCCTAGGAGCAAGAGAGACAGATGGCTGAGCTGCATCCAGACTGGGAAGGGCCCTCACGTGCCCTGATCTGCAATGGGGGGACTGGGTTGAGGTCCCTCCAACCTGCACAGCAGCCCTGTGTCACTCGTGCCTGGGGGAGCTCCTGGAGCTGTACTCACATGCATGGCAAGGATGCTGCGGGGGATGAGCTCTCGATGCTGGCGGATGCTGAAATGCCACGTCTTTATCCTCATCATGTCATCAAACATGAACTCCAGGTAGAGCCGCCCCTCCACACACACCTGGACAGGGCACAGGGTCAGGCACAGGCTGTTCCAGCCTCCCCCAGCCCAGATCCCCTGGGCACCCATTGCTGCACACTGGACACCCTCCCAGTGGCTTGCCTCAGCCTCCCAGGAGACTCAGCACAAGCCAAACCCATGAGCCCACAACACATGGCCCTGTGGGACCACAGCCACCAAGAGGGCACACAAAAGCAAGATGTGAGGGGCAGCAGAAGCTGTAGGCACAGCCAGTACCTGGGTGAACATGGGCTTGCCGTGCTGAGTGACCATGGTGCACTGGTCACAGTCCAGTGAAACGAAGTTGTTGTGGAAGGACTCCTTGGGGTGCTTGAGCACGTAGTAGAGCTCTGTGGCCCCCCCTTCAAAGATGCTGCGGAAGTAACGGGGAATCAAAGTCCGGCCGATCGCTGGAGCAGAAGGAAAATAAGGTCAGTAAACCTGGCTCACCCAGATGTGCCTTGGGACATACATGAAGAGGTTCCTCCCATCCCTGCTGGCTGAAGACTGCCAACCTCCAACACACTGTCCACATCCCCCTGAGCACACAACTCTCTCCTGCCAGAGGAAGGAGGGCTCAAGCTGGTACTCACTGTATCTCTTTGGTCCATCCTCCAAGCAGAAAGTGATTGTTAACATGGCGTCATCCTCAAAGAACTCCGTGGTGAAGGCGTCCCACCACAGATTGTCACATTCCTGAGGATGGTGAAGAGACACTTAGTTTATGGGGAGGAGAGACAGACAGACAGACAGATAGCCATTGGTTGCCAGGCACAGCAGCCACGCGCTCAGCCCGTGGAGGGCTGCGCTCCAATCTGAGTGCTTGGAGATGGGGTTAATAAGTCCTCATGGGACAAGGTGCCTGGGGACTTCCACAGTGGGACAGGATCCTGCAGCCAAGGGGATTCCTCCTTGAGCCAAGGCAGCTCATGAGGGCAGGAAGCACAGAGGACCCCACCCTCAAAACACACCTAGAAGCATCCTCCAACCCCTGTCTGCCCCTTGCTGCCCCAGTTCCCTACCTCTGTCCAGTTCTGCAGCCGCTTGTTGAGCTCAAATATCCTGTAGTCGGTCTGGTTCCCGTACGGCGTGTGCCTCCTGCCCAGAGAGCACAGGAAGCCATCAGAGGGGAAGGCAGCCACAGGGTGGGGAGGGGTCCTGAGCCATGGTGGGGGTACGCACAGCCTCTCCAGGACTGGCAGAGTCTGAGCAATCCCCCCACAAGTCCCAGTCAGCAGCATGCTGGCCCTGCTCAGGCACACCCACCACAGGCACAAGTTCCCCTCCCAGCAGGCTCCCCATCAGCCCCCCATGCTTACCCGATTCCAGGCTCCAGGTACGTCGGTGGGTACATAGGAGTAGGTCTAGGGGTGGAAAGAGATGCAGGCAGGTCAGTCCTAGTGGGGATCTCCCACCACAGCTCCCTCTTCCCCGGCTACAGCAGCAGGTGGTCAGGCTCACTGGAGGCGAGACCCCACACATGGTGCAAGCTGCACCCTGGCTACCCACATGTGACAACCCCATGGGGCATCCCGAACCCCAAAACTGAGCTCTGATCTCACATCACTGGCTGCTTCACCCCTGGGACCTGGCCCACTGCTCCCTGGGGATATGCCCAACTCCTCTGTAACTGGGACTGGTGCCAGGCAGAAGAAATTGGAGAAGGGGGCTGCTTTGGGAGGAGCTGGGAGTGCTCCCTGTCCAGAGTCACCCCAGAGGTTTAGCCTGGAAAAGGACTTGGAGAGCCCAGAGCTCAGGACCTAGGGGCTTCCTTCATTCCAAATATCACTCTTTTACAACCCAGTACCACCTGTGCCTGCTCCAACCCCTTCTCTTCCCCTGTGCTAACTGAACTCCAGCACCCCACTTTCTGCATGCTGCTGGGAAGCATAACAGAGACCCTGCGGTGCAGACTGCAGAGCATCCCCAACCTTGCAGACCCCTCCCAGGGCCCCAGCTCACCCCACATCTCGATCCAGCATGGTGCCCGGGTGGAAAGGGGGGAAGGCGTTGCCGTTCGGGGGCTCCTTTGGCGAGTACAGCTTGAATGACTTAGAGGAGCAGCCTGTAAAGAGAGGGGACACGAGTCAGTCAGGGGCACCCTGTGAGGAGAGACACCCTGCTGCTGCTGTGAGGAGGAACAAGGATGCAGGACCAGCCAAGACCCCATTACCACAGTCCCATCCCTCTTCTGCTCCCTCTAACGTCAGCCCAGCACCTTCACCCCACACACAGCTCCAGGCCTCCCCTATGCAGGATGTGACTCACAGGGTCAGGGCTGAACTCAGGATCAGCAGCCAGAAGGGCCCAGCCCCATGCAAGGGGTTCACCACTGGTGCCCAGAGTTTGTCAGTTCTCAGCTGGCCGGGCTCTGGGGATATGCCCAAGGGGGACAATCCAGCTGGTGAGTCAGAGGAGGGGCTAGCTGGACCCTATCCTCCCCATAGCCCCCCCTCCCGCGCTGCTCCTAATCCCACCAACCGACCCGGGAATCACACGGGATCTTTTCGCTGACCTTTCTATCGTCATGGTGACGGGTGAATAATCACCCGGAGGGATGGATGGCAGGTCCCCAGGCAGCCACCATCTGCCGCTCAGGCAGACCAGTGGCCACCCAGCTCCAGGCGGACAGAGAGATTCCACACACCAGCCCCCAGCTGTGATCAAAACACTCCAAAGCCTCATGCCCACTGCAACACCAGGGCGAAGGACAAGGAGCCCATGGAGGGCTGTGGGGTGTGATGGGGTTTGCAATGGAGCACACAACGTGTGCAAACCAGCACACATCCCTGAAAGCAACGTGGAGACACCTCTCCCCTGGCCTGCCAATGGGAGACAGGGATGCCTGTTGAATCCAGCCATGCCGGGCACAGCCAGACCCATCCAGGCTCCCAAGAGGCAGCAGGGGGCTCCCACACTCACTAGCCCCCTCCCATTGCAGGGGCAGGTTCCTGGGAGCTGCAGCTGCCAGCACCCCTCCCGAGGCCCGCGGGAGCCCTGGCACACCCCGCGGCTGGCAGGACCCAGCACGCTGTGCCCAGGCGCTGCCGAGGCACGCGGCTCCCTCCCGGCAGGCAGGCGGGCAGACAGGCTGACCTGGATGGGGCGCAGCGGTGGGCGAGCTGCCAGGCAGCTCCGGCTCCACCGGCTCAGCCGGCCCCGCTGCACACGGGCACGTCTCCCCCGCCCTGCTGCAGGCAGGGGCCCCGAAGCCGGCCGCATCGGGGCCAAGGCGGGATCCCCATTGGTGCCCGCACATAGCCCTGGGACGGGCACTTCCCAACGCCCACAAACTGCCAGGATTGCCAGCCGGTACTGGAGAAAGCAAGCCCAGCAGTGGAGGGAAGTGTCCTGGAGGCACCAGGCACACTGCTGCCCATCTGGGCTCTGACGCACAGCTAGGCTGTGGGGAAAAGTGCAGGGACAGGATCAGAGCAGTAGTTCAATTGTGATGGATACAGGAGGGGAGCAAAAAGCACCAAGGTCAAGGAAAGTGATGCCATCAGCACCAGAACCCAAGATGTCCAGCTTGTTGCAACCCATTAGCCAACACAGAAGAGTGACCAGGGCATCACCTTCACCCCTGTAAAGCCTCCTGGGACCCCAAGTCAGCAGTCACAGGGATTGCACACACTGCTGAGCAAGCAAGGGCTGGTCAAAAATAGAGGGAGTCACCTCCTCGGCATTAAATCCAACTTGCAACAGGGGAAAGCTGCATTTTACTCCTCGATTCTTGTTTTCTTGGGGCCTTTTCACCATGTTTCCCCGTAGCAGCTGAATCCAGCCTCTCTCCAGCACCCACCAGGATGCACCAGTCCCATGGGGCTGGAGCCAGCCCAGCCGCTCAGACACGGCTCACAGCTCCAGCTCCTGCCCGCCTGCAGTGAGGATAAGTGGGGCACGGCACAATTTCTCATACAGCTGCTAACAACATCGGCCCCTTGCTCTTACCTAATGTTTTCATAGATATAAAAATTTTTAAAAGGGAGGTCAGTGCTGGTCAGTCGGTGCTGTGAGAAAATTTTTGCTTTCTGCTTTATCCACATAGACTTGTACCTCATGGAAATGATAATTCAACTCAAACTGCACTAGAAACAGAGCATTTCCATTTCCTCCACATTTTCGTTAAACAACACGACATCAAAGTTACTCGATGCTTAGGAAACTACCCGAAAGTGTGTCTTCTGTTGAAAACGAACCAATTCACTAGGCAGAGGTAGCAGTGGTTGGAGAACTTGGTTTGTTGGTTTGTTTCTGGTCGCCCTGTCCTTGGGGAGGAGAAAAAAATTGTACCCAGCAGGTCTCATCCTTCAATTCTTTGTTTTTATTCACCGATGAGAGATGGGAGGATTAAGTCCCCGAGGCTTCTTGCTGTCCTCAGTCCCCATCTTTTTTCTCAGGGTGCAGGAAGGTCTCCTGAGGTGGGGAGACTAGGGAGACACATCACTCTCTGTTCGTTCTGCTTCTCCTGCTCGTCCCTAGCTCCCTGCTCCTGGAGTGGGACAGTAGATAAGCCAGGCCACCACTCCTACCCAAGCATCCATTTCCATCCTGGGCCTTCCCCAGCAGGTTAATATGGACATGACCTGCTTTTGGAGCTCCACTGAGTGACCCATCTCAGGATCTAGAGGAATGGAAAGGAGTCTGTGACCTCAGTAACACTGGCATCTTGACCAAGTGTTATTTTTAATGCAGTGTAAAATATGTCACTGGATTCAGTGGTTTAAAACAATGCTAACGATAGCCTTAGGATTTGATACAGGCTGTCCAAATTCTACATTTACTGTACACATACTATACACTTTACATGAAATAACATAATTACTTTAAAGCAGCAGCAAAACAACTTTTACTCACACAAGGGTCATGCTGCCTGGTCTGGGAGATCCCTCCATCACCACCTCTCCCCTTCATGCTGCTCCAGCTGCCTGTAAGCCCTGTCCAGCCGGATGAAATGACCCAGAGCTCCACGATGTGGCCCTTCCCAAGTCAAGCCCAGTGTTTGACCCCAGCTGGTGTTTCTGCATGACCCTGCTCTGCCTCCTGCTTTGAGCACAGAGGATTTGGGCAGGCTTGGTGCAAACAGGGATGCTGCCCGGTGGCTGAGCATGCGATGCTCCCAAGGACTCTGAACCAACAGGAGATGCTTCCTGTGGCTATCCCTCGGTGCTAGCTCAGCACTGCAAAAACATTCAGCAAGGGGGAAAATCAGACTGATGCTGCAGCTGGTGAGCTACTGGCCCAGGCAGGTCTGGGCAAACAGCACAGTGCCTGTGGCCAGGTGGGCGGCCTCACGGCTCCTTCTCAGTGCAGAGGTGCAGGAGAAGGGAACCCTGTGAAGGGATGTCCTGCCTCAGCATCCTCTGATAAGGCCAGGTCCACGGCCTTGGGCACAAAAGCTTGGGCAAGTAAACAGCTCCAGACAGGCGGGCGCCCAGGGAAGGGAAGGCAGGTGCTCTACCCATGACTCACGTACAACCCAGCACTGCCCAACCCTCCACATGTCTTCTCCTCTGTGTTCCCTGCCTGTGAGCTATCAGCCCCATGGGGAAAGCTCTTCTAGTGCACTGTCTGGTGGGTTTGCTGGAGCAGGAATGACTGAAACCCTAACCAAGCCCCCAGAGCTGGGGAACATCAGGATTCCCAAAGCACCAAAAGCACAGTGGGCACCTTGCAGAGCCAACATAGACAGGAGACAGTAGGACACGGTAAGCCGAGACCAGCGCCAGGTGCCTGCCTGGGCAGAGGACATGCAGAGCAGGAAGAAAAGCCCTTGCTTGAATTCTCCTCACTTCAGCTCGCCTGTAAAGAGCAAAGAACTGCTGAGGACAAAGGCAAAGCAGCATCAACATCTCATTCCTACACCTGTGGCCATTGGTAGGAATTAGTGCGCCCCATCCCAGAGAGGAGCCATCCCCAGCCGGGCAGCCAGTGCTGCTCTGTGCAAGTAGCAAAGCTCAGCAACAAGGCAGAGGCTAAAAACGTAAATAATAAAAATAAATGAAGAAGCAGGGCTTGAAAGGGGCCGCAGGGTTACAGCTCAGCCAGGGAGCATCTTGCTCCTCCCAGCAGTCCGGGAAGAAGGGAGGCCAGCCTTCGCTAAAGGCAGCCAGTGCTTCCCAGCATGCTCTGTGCCTGCTTCCTGGCTGCCTAACAAGGCTTTAAAGTGTAAATAGCGGCATTGTTTCACAGGGCTGCCTCGCTGGGGTGTGGGAGCTGTGATAGTGGCAAGAAATACATCTTCCCAGCCCAGTCCCGCTGGCATGGCTGGTGGGAGGGTGCTATCCAGGAAGCTGCTATCTGGGGCTGGGTGCAGGGCAGCAACTCAAATAATTCACATGGTTCACCCGGTGACAGTGCCTGGTGTCCAGGAAGTTGGTAAGGGTAAGGCTGGGAGGCAAACACGGAGAAGTATTCAGAGTGACGGGGACAGGCAGAGGCACATGGAGCAGTCCCTGGTCTGCCTGCCTTCACCTCTTCTTTCTCCTCTTCTCTGGAGCAGAGGGAATGGAGCAAAGCCAATTGCAAACCCCGATGTTGTTATTAAACACACAGGAACCCAGGCAGCACACACAGAGGCATGACCTGAGACATTATCAGAGATAATCTCAACTTGCAGCAACCCCATTTGCTTTGAAAATGCAGAACTGATGCAGCTGAAGCTCCCAGGAGGCCGGGCTGCGTAGGGAAGAGGAGATGCCACTTTTGGAGAAGACCATGTGCCGTGGACTCAGCGGCATCCAGAGTCTGAACCTGGCCAGCGCATCGCCTGGCCCTGACCCGTACAGAGGCAAAACCTGCATCGCCACCTGCCCTGCTATGTGCAGGGATTACCCTCTCACTTTTCCCAAGCTACATATCTGAGTCAGCCATGGAGCTTATCTGGACCACAAGCTGCCTCCCCGCCCGTACCACGTGCTGTGCACAGTGTCCCAGCTCCAGGTCACATCCTACAGTGTTAGTGCAAAAGTCCCCCACGGCAGCACACAAAGCACCTGGACCCAATGGTGTTCCTCTCTGTAGGCTGCCTCACAAAGTGGGGGGACAGCCAGAGAAGGGATAATTACTAGCAGTTAGTTATTACAAAGTGGCAATCTTGATGCAGGCTGTGAGGCAGCACTATCTGAAAAGCACCAGTTGAGAAGAACCTGGCCAGGATGTGGATTTATAGGTCAAAGCTCAGAGTAGTCCCACAGCCCCAGCTCTGCTGGAGTCCAGGGTCTCCCAGGAAGGCATCCTGCAGAGCTGGGTACTCAGCCGGGGCCCTGGAGGACTGCACTGCCCTGCAGCACACTAGGGATGGCAGGAGTCTCCCCTTTCCCATTTTGTCCCTCAGATGATTCAGACATGTAGACAGGGAATTCTCCAGGAGGGAAAAAGGGAGAAGAGCACACCCTGCCAATTGCAAAACAGTCAGAAAATTGAATCACATCCAAGGCTGCAAGCCCCAGATGCAATCCCACAGATAACCCAGTTTCAGCTCCTCTACTATCAACTTACCACGAGGCAGTCATTTCCTGCAACTCTCAGGGAAATATCCCACTGTCCCTAATTACTCCTTTCGGTTCACTGTCTCAAAGACGATCCATAATCAAACGCTGCCGGTTTCAGCCTCAGGAATGCACCTTTCACATTTTCGGCCACTTTCCCTCTCACCCAGACCCCTGCACCCTGGGGCCCTGCCATCATGCAGTGACGGGGCTCCCATCCCTCACCGTGCATCGGCACAGCACCGGCACACAAACGAACAACATGGTGTGGGAACCACGGGGCTGGAAAAAAATCCTGTTGGCATCTCATGAATAAAAGCCTCCAGACAAACTAGGGTTTTCATCATCCAAGGTTTTCTAGGCTCTGCAGCAGCACAGAAAAATTCAGTCATAGGTAACCATGCCAGTGGCCTCAAAGAACATCTCTGCTCCCAGTTCCTTGCCCACCATGCACACGGTGGAGCAAAACTACGCAGCTCTACATGGGATTCTGGCATTGCTGCTCGGGGCAGCCCTCTACAGGGACAGAATCTGCCCAGGAGAGCTGGAGCCAAGAGCCACAGTGTGGGGAAGTGGCAGCAAGAGGCTGAGGTCTGCCCTATGCCGACAGAGGGGGCTCCATACTGATCCCCCAGACACGCAAGACTGCCAAGTGCCGCTGCCTCGGAGCGCTGTCAGCCCCCACGTGGCACATGGAGATTTGCGATCCCGGGATGCAACACTCCACCTCTCTCCCCGCCGCTGCCATCGGCGCCGAACGCTGCACGCTGGGACGCGTAGTCTCCGGAGACAGCAGTCCCGCCGCCGACAGCCGCCTTGCTCCATGTTGCCTCCTAGGTGGAGCCCCGCAGCCCTGGCAGCCGGCCAGGAGCCCGCTCCGGAGGGGGTAAAAAAGCTGGATAACTCCTGCGGCGAGGATCCAGCTGGCCACGCTGGGGTGGCGTGAGCCCGGGGGCAAACCACGACGCTGGGGTTGCAGTGGCTGCCCCAAGGTCTGTATCACTCACAGATGCCCAGGGACGGAAGGCACAGTGAGAGTACGGTGGGAACCTGCCCAGTGCAGCTCCCAAGGCACCTCC